TGACCAAATGCCTTTTGAAGTTTCTTTTAATACTGTCATCCTGTTTGCACCAGATCTTCAATTTCAGTCGTTTAAAAAAAAATATGTAGCATACCAACCCCTGGAGGTTCAGCCAATGATGGGGCCAAACTAACATCGCAAGACCTACAATTTAGTCATTTCGGGCATTAGGCACAGCTGTAAATCTCACCTCTCCAAACACTTAATCCCTTTTTTCAGGGATGGGTTTATTGGACAGATAATGAATGAACTAGATTAGTCTCTGTCTTGCAGGCCAGAATGAAGCTATAGATGCAGAGATGGGGCCTCCCAGAAGTCGAAACCTTTATTATAAATTATGCTGGAAGGTTTAAATTCAAGGATTCTTTTCTCTGTCTCTCTTTCTGAATTCACACATGCAGGTGGAGAACCTTTGAGAGCTGTATGTGACGAAATTTCATTTTAATGTATGCCGATCTGGGTACATTCAAAGGGACAGTAAAGTTATTCTAAGTTTTCAAAGTCTAAGGTAGTCCATAATTTACAACAATTCACTTAGGGACTGGTTCGAAGTTACAATGGCACTGCCAAAAATGATTTATGATTGTTGTTCACACTTATGTGAAGCATCCCCATCAGAGGTGGTATTCAGCAGGATCTGACAGCTTCTGGAGAACCAGTAGTGGAAATTTTGAGTAATTCAGAGAACTGGCAAATACCATCCCTGAGTGGCCCCGCCAACCCCATCTATTCTCTGCCTCCCGAGTCCCAGCTAATCAGCTGGGTCTTCTTTGGTCGCCCTGAACAGGAGTTCGGAGCTGGAAAGCAGGTTAGTGGGGTGGGGAAGGAATGGTGATTTTGCAGTAAACTTCCCCTGCTACGCCCACCAAGCCACGCCCACCAAGCCACACCCACAGAACCAGTAGTAAAAAAAATTGAATCCCACCACTGATCCCCATGACTCTTGGCAACAGGTTCATATTTATGACATTTGCAGTGCCCTGGGGTCCTGTGATCACCTTTTGAGACCTTCTACTGAGCATTGTGAATGGGGAGGCCGGATTCATTTAACAACCAGGTTACTAACGTCACAACTGCAATGAAGTTTAGCTTAACAGCTGTCACAAGAAAAGTTGTAAAAAATGGGACAAAACTCAACAACTGCCTCGCTTGGCAACAAAAATTTTGGGCTCAGTTCTGATTGTAAGTCAAGGACTATCTATATTTAGACCAGGGGTCTCCAATCTTGGCCACTTTAAGCCTGGAGGACTTCAACTCCCAGAATGCCCCAGCCAGTAAGCTTAAAGGCTTAAAGTGGCCAAGGTTGGAGTCCCCCGATTTAGACTATCACACTAGGAAAAGCATGCCATGAAGGTCCACCCTCCTTGTATTGTAAAGTTATAGTAGTAACAGCTTACTGCAGGTCTGAATGTGCTTGCCCCTTCTTTTTTTCCTCTTCATGTGGAACTCGAGAAGGGGTGTGTCTGAGATGTTTTTTCAGGTTAGTTTCTTGGTCTGGACTCAAGCCCTGCTTATCTGATGATTGCCTTGGTAGTAGAACTTCCTCCTGTCCTTCAAGGCCATCCCCTCTATCCCCCATAGAATGGAATCTCATCTATGGTAATGCAAAGTTACAATCAATCAATGGAACGACTTGCCTTCAGAAGGTTTGAGTGCTCCATCATTGGAGGTTTTTAAGAAGAGACTGGACAGCCACTTGTCTGGAATGGTATAGGGTGTCCTGCTTGAGCAGGGGGTGGTGGACTAGAAGACCTCCAAGGTCCTTTCCAACTCTCTTATTCTATTCTATTCTATTCTATTCTATTCTATTCTATTCTATTCTATTCTATTCTATTCCATTCCATTCCATTCCATTCCATTCTATTCTTTATCCTTTATAAAATGTGAAATATTTTGTATTTTCAACCCCTTTCTCCTCATTTGTACAGGTCCTATATTCACATACCCATAACTAGCTGACATGGAAGACTGACTTGGAAGACTGCTATCATGTCTCCCCTGGTCCTTCTCTTCACTAGACTAGCTACACCCAGTTTCTGCAACCATTCTTCATATGTTTTAGCTTCCAGTCTCCTAATCATCTTTATTGCTCTTCTCTGCACTCTTTCTAGAGTCACAGTCTTATTTTTTATAGTGTGACCAAAATTGGATGCAATACTTTAGGTGTGGTCTTACTGAGGCTTTATAGAGTGGTATTAGTACCTCACTTGATCTTGATTGTATCCCTCTGTTAGTGCAATTTAGGATTGCACTGGCAGTTTAGGCTTGCATTGATACTAATGAATATTACAGGATTTACACTGAATAATAATACTATCCAGAGTTCCAAGTATCTGGCATAAAGCATCAGATGATACATAATGTAGCCAGGTCCTGCGTGGCTAAATATAACATTGGTTTTATTGTAATTTCTTTGTTTGATTGTTTTGAGCCACTGAGAGTCATTTAAAGTTGGGCAGCATACAAGATTAATAAATTATTCTAGTTGGTCGCCCAGTCAGCCAAATGACCCAATTGGATTTGGCATTTTTGTTCGCTTATGGAATCCTTCCCCAAAAAACCTGGGTAGGCAGATGTTGTTGTTTAATCATATTAAATTATTATTATCACAATTAGAAAGCTTTTTGGAAATAAAATGGTTGATCCTGTTTGATTATGGCTTGTTTGATATGGCTTGCTGCTAGCATCAAGTTTAGGGCTGACTTGCTTTTTGTTTAAAACCCAAGCTGCTCGTATTTTAAATGAACGCTTTTATTTTTTAAAGTGCCTTGTACTTAAAATTTTTGGTTTATACTTGGAAAAAGTCTAGTAGACCCTTTGCTATTAACAAATTAACAACTCGGTTCATCAGATTGCATAGAGAGGTTAAACACTGCACCAGCATGCTGTCTGAGAAATTGTGACAGTTGCTTTCTACACATTCTCAAGCTGTTACGTTAAGAAACATGGGGACTAGATTGTGCTGGGTTTAAATTTCTGCATAAGGCTATATATCCTTTCAAACATAATGTCCACCTGAAATTCTTTTTTCCTATCTCAATCTGCTTTTTTTCCACTGGAGAGCTTATGTGAGAATCAAAAGTGTTCTTTATAAATAAAGAAGACACTGGGTTTTTCTTTATAACATCTGTCCAGATAGATGAATTGGATGGATCCATCTATCCATCCAGCTTGCTAACATCTGTCAATTGATCTGTCCATCCACCCATCCATCTGTCTATCCATTGTATCTCTCCATTCTCTCTCTCTATCTATTCAGCTTGCTATCATCTGTCAATCCTTCCTTCCTTCCTTCCTTCCTTCCTTCCTTCCTTCCTTCCTTCCTTCCTTCCTTCCTTCCTT